CAGAGACCTGCAGAGGAGTACCATGACCAGAACCCAAGCCCCCAGCTTGCAACCTCAGCAGACACACACAGGCTTACTATCCAGGAAGAGCAAAGCATCCCTGAATACTGCAGGCTAGAGTTCTCTCAGAGATGGAGCATCTCAGCACTCTCCACCAGGGGGAGAGGGTCAGCCTTCTAGAGCCATTACTGAAAGGACTCCCAGGCTGATTCTTACCATCCCCGTGGGCAGCCCCTTCTGAAAAGGGGAACACCCAGTGTCCACTCCCAGGCTGATTCTTACCATCCCCGTGGGCAGCCCCTTCTGAAAAGGGGAACACCCAGTGTCCACTCCCAGGCTGATTCTTACCATCCCCATGGGCAGCCCCTTCTGAAAAGGGGAACACCCAGTGTCCACTCCCAGGCTGATTCTTACCATCCCCGTAGGCAGCCCCTTCTGAAAAGGGGAACACCCAGTGTCCACTCCCAGGCTGATTCTTACCATCCCCGTAGGCAGCCCCTTCTGAAAAGGGGAACACCCAGTATTCACCTTTGTCTGAAGCTAGGCTGCAGGGGAGTTGCAGGCATGGGTGGGGACTGAGAGAAGAGTATAACAATAATAATAATGTATATAGTGTTTACTAAGTTCCAGGCATTGTGCTAAGTATTTTACAATTATTATTTCATTTGATCCTCACATCAGCCATGGGAAGTAGGTGCCATTATTATAATCCCCATTTTATAGATGACAAAACTGAGGCAAGTAGAGGTTAACTGACTTGCTCAGGGTCATGCATTGAATGTCTGAGGCCATATTTGAACTCAGGTCCTTCCCGACACCAGGGTCAGTATTCTATCCACTGTGCCACCTAGCTGGCCCTGGGGCTCTATATTTTGAAAACTCGTCATTCTGATGGGGTGCTTGGGTGCTTGTACTTGGACACCACTTCTAAAATCATATTTCTTCCTAGCCTCAAGGCACTATCCCTGACAGTTTCCCTCAAGCCCAAAGACCCTATCTCTGGCAATAACACATGAGTGGGCCCAATGAGTCAAACTATCTCTCCCTGCTACAAGAACAAGCTGACCTCTGAAGAATTTCCCTATCTTGTACCAGCAGAACTGTCAAGTACTGATGCCCACAGTTACATATACAATCCAGAGGTCAAGCTGTAGACGTCAACTCCCAAAGCTATCTCGTTACAGATATAACAGACCAAAATAGGTTCCTTTAGGAACCCTCTCTCCCCCCTTCTCCCATTTTCAGTAGTGAATGAAGTAGTTGTATGTCATCATCTAATTAGCATACTTGCCACATAATTCACTACTTTTCCTGTATAAGCTTTGGCACCATTCCTGTTAGGTTGCAAGTTCCCTAAGGAGCTCTGCCCACCATGGCAGGTTCCTTGGGAATCCTTGCCCGCTATATAGCGTAACAATAAATTTTTTTATTTCTTTTAGGCAATTGGGGTTAAGTGACTTGCCCAGGGTCACACAGCTAGTAAGTGTCAAGTGTTTGGTCTGAGGCCAGGTTTGAACTCAGGTCCTCCTAACTTCAGGGTCAGTGCTTTATCCACTGTGCCACCTAGCTGCCTCAACAATAAATCTTTGCCACCTTGACTTAGAGAATTCATTCCAGATGACACTATCCTGTACTCCAGTCTTTGAGGGGTCTCTAAACCTCTCAGACCTCAATAATTCCATCTATTTTGGATATTATGAGTATTTGTGATGGCCCATTGTCCCCCAGCTAGTAAGAACCAAAGGCAGATCTTCCCAGATCTGAAGCCAGCTCTCTATCCAGTACACCTACATCTATTAAAAATACTGTTCTCATGGTTTTTGAAGCAATATTACATCTGGGCAATTGAGGACAAAAGTCAGGTCTGTGATAATGGTATGTTCCCAGTACACTTTTATTGGATGAGTTTTCCAGGATATTTTGAAGACTGCTGCTATAATTATAATTGTCATCTGCAACCCTTTTGAAGTAGGCAGTGCAAAGAGTGATATCCCCATTTCACAGAGAACAAAACTGAGGCATGGAAGTAAAGTGACTTGATTGCCTATGGTCATAAAGCCAGTAGAGAACAGAGCTAGGCTAGGAATCTTTGCAGCTCTCCTTTATTATGGGTCTGTTGGGAGCAAAGAGCTTTGTAATCTATAAATTGCCGCAGAAACTTGAGGGGCTCCTCAAATTCCCAATGAGTTTTGGCCCCTAGTTTGTGGCACCCAGACCTCCCTTCTGAAGAGCACCCCTCGGGAGCCAGGGCTTTGCCTCGTTCAAATAACTGACACTCTCAGAAAGGCAGAGGGCAGGGAAGGACAGAGTTGATCAAGTAACTCAGTCAACTGGCCCCGAGTCCTACTTTTGGAATTTCCCATTTCCTCCTGGCACATCCAGGCCATTAACTGGACAGGTGGCCAGACAGGTGCCTCTCCCATTCCTCATTTGTTGGTCATTGGGAGACAGGGGAAATTCCGCTTTCAGGTGCCCTGAAGCCTGGCGCTCCCATCAAGAATCATTTGGGGACAAATTGGTACAAGCAATCATTCCTCCTCCGAAGATTGCATTTGATCAAGACAGGCCCGTTAGTGACTTAGGAGAAAAAGCCCAGCAGCTTTTACCTCCAAAACTGACACTGCAGCCCCAGCTGTCATAACAGTTCAGGGGAAGCAGGAAATGATTTTGTGGAGGACAGCTGTGTAGGTGAAGATTGATTTCTCTACAGCTTAACTGCCTTGGCCTCACTGCCCTTCCCAAGAAGCTGGGAAGTAATATTTGTCCCTGAGTGGGGAGGAGGCGGGGTAGAGTTGGGCCTGGTTCTCCAGAGGGGCCAAAAAATTAGATTAGAAGCTGTAACACATGGGTGGAAGAGGGGCAAATGGGAACTACAGAATCCTAAGCATCCAAAGGGACATTATGATCATTGAGAGAAATCAGCTCAGAGAATCATAAATTTTTAGAGTGAAAAATGGATCTGAGAGGGCAGTATGGCCTAATAGATAGAGCCCTGAAAAGACCTGGGTTGGAATCCTACTCTATTTTTTTTTTTGTGAGGCAATTGGGATTAAATGCCTTGCCTTGGGTCACACAGCTAGTGGGTGTTATGTGTCTGAGGCCAAATTTGAACTCAGGTCCTCCTGACTCCAGGGCCAGTGCTCTATCCACTGCACCACCCAACTGCCCCTTGAATTCTACTCTAGTCACTTTCTAGCTGTGTGACCCTGGGTATATCAATTCTTCCCTTGTAAGGGCCTCAATTCCCTCATCCATAACACAAGGCGGTTGGACTTAATGCCTTCCAGGCCTTATGATCTGGAAATCAGCCCAGAGAATCACAGAATTAGAGGGTTGGAGGGGACCTTCCGGAGGGCAGAAGCGCTTTGGACTTGGAGTCCAAACGCTGCCTTCATCGCTTACTAGCTGTGTGATTTTGGACAAGTTACTTCTCATGTCTGGGCCTCAGTTTTCTCATCTGTAAAATGAAGGGCTGGACTTCAAAAGGGCTGAGGAGCTTTCCAGCTCTAAGGCTGTGATCCTTTGGTGCTCCCTTCCACGAGCGGCCTCTAGCGAGAGGGACCTAGCCCCCACTTACAGAGCGCACAGTACTAATTGGCATCCAGCCTAAATCTGCTTCTCCTCGACTTCCCTTTGGGACTCCCTGATCCCGCTGTCAGAACAGGCCTGATCCTTCCTCCCCCCAACAGTCCTTCACATTCCTGAAGGCAGCTTTCTCCTACTTCTCTGGGTCTTCTTATCTCCAAGATAAGACTGGCTCCAAGCCAATGCTCTGACCGGTCCTCAGATGGCATGGACTGAAAGCCCTTTGTGGTCCTGGCTGCCCTCCTCTGTCTGAAGTGCCCACACCTGCATGTCGTCCACTTTATCAATGTCTTTCCTAAAATGTGGCCCCCGGAAGTGAACAATGCACTCTAGGGGTGGTCTGACCGGAGCAGAGGGAAGGGAATAAACATTTACATAGCACCTACTATGCGCCAGTCACTGTACTAAGCACTTTACAAATATTATATGTCACTTGATCTTCATTTGATACCTGGGAGGTAGGTGCTATTATTATTCTCATCTGAGGCAAACAGATTAAGTGGCCTGCTCACGGTCACATAGCTAGTATGGGTCTGAGGCTAGATTTGAACTCAGGTCTTCCTGACTCCAGGCGCAGCCCTCTATCCTTAGTGCTACCAGTTGCCCCTGGAAGTGGTGCCTCTCTGATGCAGGACAAAATTACAGGACCTTTGTTAGGTGCCCCCATCTCACCGTTGACTCATCCTGAGCTCACAGTTCACTCACACTCTTTAATCTTTATTTTTTTTAAACAAACTGCTGCCTAACCACACCTCCCCACATTGTATTTGTGAAATCAGTTTTTTTCAACTCAAGTGTAAGATTTCTTCCTATTAGATTCCTTTTTGGAAAAGCATAGAGCACTATCAGACAGAAAGCAGGCCTCAGAAGGAAGAAGACCTGGGTGCGAATCCTGCCTCTTACACAGACTCTCTGTATGACCCTGCACCAGTCATGTAACTTCTTAGTGTCCTAAGACATCTGTTCCTTGGAAGGGCCTGATCTATGGTGATAGAAGGAATGTTTACAAGGAGTTAGACTAAGAGAATCATAGGCCCAGTTCAAAAATTTCATTTTATTAGATTCAGCTCAAAGCTGTAGCCTGTCTTCACTTCTCTGGGTTTCAGCTTACTTACTTCAAAGTAAGAGAGTTGAACTGGATGATCTCTAAGGACCATCCCAGCTTTGATATTCTATGTCCTTAAGATCCTCTCCAGCTCTGACACTCCACGTTCTGGGGGCCCTCCCAGCTCTGACATTCCATGTTCTAAGGGCCCTCCTAGCTCTGACATTCTATGTTCTAAGGGCCCTCCCAGTTCTGATATTCTATGTTCTAAGACCTTTCCCAGTTCTAACATTCTATGTTCCAGCTATTCAAGGCCCTCCCAGTTGTGGGAATCTGTAATCCCAAGCATCAAGGATCTTGGCAGTCCTACCTCTTCTCCTGTCAGGTAGTAGGCTGAGAGGAGTCCACCGACGTACCGAATGTTCACTTCAAATACTGAAGCGTCTCCTTTCTGAAGCGCAGGAAAAAAGATTGGGAAGATGCTTGGTGAATTTGGCTGCGGTCAGGCCTCAGGGACAAGAGAGACGTTAAGCGAGTCCACAACCCCCTCCTCCCTATCCCAAGCCCTCATAGAACACACACACACACACACACACACCCCTCTTCCCCAGATTAGATATCTATCCCAACTTGTTGACATTTCGTATGACGGGCCTTAGAGAAGGAAGAAGGGAAGGGCCTCCAAAGTCATCTGGTCCAAAACCGGGACCAGACAAGGAAGCCTGAAGTCACACAGCGATGAAGCTGCAAAGCCGTAATTTGAATTCAGGCCTGCTGCTGCCAAGCCAAAGGCTCTTTCCAGTCTGCCCAGCTGCCTCAGAAGACACACACCCAATACACAGTTGTGTGTTTTCATGCCAGGAAAGAGTGGGGTTGGGGTCAGGCCCTGGCCTGGGAGGCTCACAGCAAATCCCATGCTGGTGGCTTGCCAAGTCAAAACGACTCTTGGCTCCTTCTCTAGGACGCCTGCCAGGCACACTCCTGCTTGGACCCCCTGCGCTGAGTGCCGGGCAAGGAGGGGGCTGCTTTTCTCTCCCGCTAATTGGACAGGCCTGGCAAGCTTGCTCTGCAATAGCTGCCCCGGAGGGCAAACACAGCCCACCTGAGCATCAGAGACACATGAGATCATCCCTCTGGAGCGGGAAGGGACCTCCTGTTAGCGACCAGCTGGTCCACCCCTCCTCATTTTACAGATGAGGAAACTGAGTCCCAAGGAGGTAAAGTGAATTTGCCCAAGGCCACACAGGCAGTGAGTGTCGGAGGCAGGATTTGAACCCAGGTGTTCCAGAGTCACCACTCTTCCCATTGCATCAACCTCACCCCTGAAGTTTTTATTATTATTATTGTTTATTTTTTAAATTTAATTTTTAAAAATATATAACCCCTTAAGTTTGGAACCCTTTGTCGCTGTTAAGAGTATACAGGTCAGGGAGAGCATCTTCGGGGAGAAGGTTAAAGGAGACAGGGATGAGAAATGAGGGGGGATGGGGGAAGCAAGCGGCCCTTACCAGAGGCTGGGCCTAAAAGGAAAGGGATCATGTTGCGGTGGAAGGAACCTGGGGTGCAATCTTAGGAAACCTGAGTTCCTGGTCTGACTCTATCAGAAACTAGCTGTGTTACCCTGGGCTAGTCCTTTCCTTTCCCTGAACCTCAGTTTCTTCGTCTGTACAAGAGGAACATGTAACACCTGCTTGGCACAGGCATGGTGAGAAAAGTGCTTTGAGGGAGACGGGTTCAAGTCCTGCTTTGTCTTCTCTGACTGTGTGCACCGAGCTGGGCTGGCCAACTTCTCAGTGCCCCACATGCTGCAGAGCTGGCTCTGTCCGCATTGGAAGTTTTCTCCCTGGGAGTTTACAGATCCATAAAATCACAGGTCCAATTAAAAAAAGAAGAAAAAAGGAAATCTGACTCTCTATTATGACTGCAGAAAGAACTCTGACCTTGGTTTGACTGTGGTCTCTAACACCGGATCATTGTGTGGAGATGATAACATTCCCATTCCTTGGCTCACCGGGTTACTGTGTGTGAGCGCACGTGGGTATGTGTGTATGTGCGTGTGTGTGTGTGTGTGTGTGTGTGTGTGTGTGTATGTGTGTATGTGTGTGTGTGTGTGTGTGTGTGTGTATAGGGGGAGGTCGTCAACTGTTAAGAACTACACAATAACCTAGGTTTATTATTGAGGGACAAAGGAGAAAAGAAGAGGAAGGAGGAAGGACAAAGGAAGGGGGAAAAAGGGAGAGATGGGGAGGAGAAAAGGGAGGGGGGAGAACAAAGGAAAAGAAGGAAGAGGCGAAACAGGACAAGCTGGACAAGAGACCCCGGCTCTCCTGGATGGTCTCAGTCTCCTGGCCTTGGAATGTCCCTCCTCCTTGGTTTAATAAGAATGGTTTCCCTGAGATTGAAGCTGCAAACCCCAGGAGCCCCTCCCTCCATCTCTGGTGACATCTGACGCCTTTCTCCCTCAGCCTGCCCTTAGCTCTCATGATCAATTCTTTTAAAAAAGGCAAGGGGTGCTATTCTGAGAGCAGGTCTCTAAACAAGAAAACTGGAAGGTGGGGCCCGCTGGGCCAGTAACAAGCAGTGGGGCTCCGGCCGATGTCTTGAATGGCGGGATCCTGGGGCTTTCTCAGGCTACACGTCCGTCCTCTTCACTCAAGGTAAGGAAGGATGCTGCATGCCAGAGGAGTCACACATAATATTTCTCTCATTCATTTCACTCCCTTGGGGCCACCCAAGGTTGTAGTGTGGGCGTAGGGACATGTAGAGATCAAACTGGGAAAATAGCAGTTGTATTCTTTGCTAAAAAACAAGCTTAAAGCAAAGGGATCTGATTCTCTTATACCAAAGGAAAGAGAACCAGGCTGGGAAAGAAAACCTGAGTTCAAGCTTTTGCCTCCGCCGCTCACTCTTCACGCGGCCTTGGTCAATCACTTGTCTCTGAGCCTGTTTTCTTCTCTTTAGAATGAGAGGGGTGGTCTAGAGGGGCTCTAAGATTTTTTTCAGCTCTCACATCCTATCTTCTAAAGTTCCTTCCAGTTTTTACACTCTGAATTTTAGTATTCTATGTTTCAAGGTCCCTTCCAGTTCAAATATTCTATGTTCTAAGATACCTTCCAGCTCTGATATTCTGTTCTAATGCCCCTCCCAGATCTGACGTTCTGTGTTCTTAGGCCCATTCCAGATCTGACATTCTATATTCTAAGAGCACTCCCATCTCTGACATTCAATGTTCTAAGATCCCTCCCAGCACTGACATTCTGTGCTCTAGGGTCTCTCCCAGTCCTGGCATTCTTGGTTCTAATGTACTTTCCAGTTCTGACATTCTGTGTTCTTAAGCCCATTCCAGCTCTGACATTCTATGTTCTAAGGGCCCTCCCAGCACTGACATTCTGTGTTCTAGGGTCTCTCCCAGTCCTAGCATTCTTGGTTCTAATGTACTTTCCAGTTCTGACATTCTGTGTTCTTAAGCCCATTCCAGCTATGACATTCTATATTCTAAGGAGCCTCCCAGCTCTGATATACCATGTTCTAATGTCCCTCCCAAACTTGACAGTTTGTGTTCTAGGGTCTCTCTAAGTTATCACATTTCATGTTCTGAGTCCCTCCCTGCTCTGACATTTTGTGTTCTAAGGTCCCTCCCAGCCATGATATTCTAGATTCCAATATTCTCTATCCTAGGGCCCCTTCGAGCTTTGACATACAAGGTTCTACAACTCACCACATCCAAGTCAAAGCTCTTCTCCACCCAGTTTTTGGCCTCTCGGAACTCGTCCTCCAGCTCCATGATATACAGAGTGTCTAAGGCATCAATGATTGTGGCCCCACCGAGGCCTCCTGCAGGGACAAAAAAACAGCAGCTTGACCATGGTTCATTCCCTTTCTTTTCCACCATATCTCTTTGGGAAAAAAATCCAAACTTTTTTTTTCACCCTTAAAAAAGACAAGGGTATTGCACAATGGATAGAGCACCGGCCCTGAAGTCAGGAGGACCTGAGTTCAAATCCGGTCTCAGACCAAACACTTGACACTCACTAGCTGTGTGACCCTGGGCAAGTCACTTAGCCCTGACTGCCTTAAAAAAAAAAAAAGCTAAAAAAAAAGACAAGGGCGATCTTAACCTTCTTGTAGCAGCTGGCTCCCTTTGAAGCTAGAGGGAAGGTAGAGTCCACAATCCAAGCTGTTACCCAAAGAACTCTTCTGAACTTTGCCCTGTTTAGAACACACAGGAGGGAATTTCTTTAGGGTACTTTAGGGGACAGATGGCAACTTCATAAGCTCCTGTCCCTTCTCTGGCCCCTCTGCCTCCTCTATTCAAGAACACAGATTTATTAAGCACCTACTGTGTGCCAGACTCTGTGTTTAGTGCTAGGAAATGTAAAATAATGTAGTTCCTTCCCTCAAGGGGCTTCCAATTTAATGGGGGCAGCTATGCCTTACACCAATAAGTACAAGAGAAAGTGGCACGTGACGGAGCCGAGGGAGTACAGACAAAATGTTCTAGGACAGTGTGAGGTGGAAGAGAGAACATTAACATTCAACTAATAGGGCTGAAGAGGGGAAGGGAAGGATCAGGGATGTTTATATGGAAGAGGCGGCACCTGAGCTGGACGAAGAAGGATTACAACTCTATACTCACTAAGTTCCTGGAATGCCACACATTGTGCAGTGGAACCACCCAAGAGGGTGGTGTGTGTATACAGCGGGGGATAATTGTGCAGCAGAGATAACTGGGACAAAAAAAGGAGGAAGAAGAGTTCTGCAAAGGCATCCCTTCTGTGGAAGAGGGATGAAGACTTCTATATTGTTTCAGAGGGTTGGACCAGGACCAGTAGAATGTAAGCTCCTTGAGGGCAGGGACTGTCTTTTTGCTTTTATTTGTATCCCCAGCACTCAGCACAGTGCCTGGCACATAATAAGCACTTAATTAATGCTTGCTTTCCTCCTTCTACATTGTTTCAGAGGGTTGGACCAGGACCAGTAGAATGTAAGCTCCCTGAAGGCAGACACCATTTTCCATCTCATCTTTATATCCCCAGCACAGCATTTACTACACATTTGTTGAATTGGATGAATCTGGTAGAAATTAAAAGGAAGCAGATATTGACTTGATGTAACAACAATTAGAGGTGCCAACAAGGAACTGGGCTGCCCCAGGAGGTAGTGAGTCACTGTTACTAAACAGAGGCTAGACAGCCATTTTCAGGATCAGACAGAACACTGGACCAGATGACCCTCAGGGTTTTTTCCAGTTCTGAGATTCTTTGCTTCATCAGGGAAATCTCAGCTCAAGCACCATCTCCTATGAGAAGCCTTCCTTGATTCCTCCAGTGGCTAGAGCCACACTCCTCCCTGCCCCAGTTATCTTGCACTTATTTTGCCAATACTAGGTGATACAGTGGATAGATCCTCAGGCCTGGTGTCTCTGAGTTCAAATTCAGCCTCAGATGCTTATTAGCTGTGTGACTCTGGGCAAATCCCTTAACCCTGTTTGCCTCAGTTTCCTCATCTGTAAAAGGAAATGTCAAACCACTCCAGTATCTTTGCCAAGAAAACCCCAAATGAGGCCATGAAGAGTTGAACGTGAAATGAAACAACTCAACAACAACAACAATAACAACAACAAAATGATGAAGCTGGACTAGATAACCTTAGGTCCCTTCTTTTAAATCTATAATCCTGTGAGCTCTCATTTCTAGAGAAATCTAAGATTTACAAAATGCCTTCCTCACAACTACCCTCTGACTTGAATTTTCCTCACTACTTATCTGTGAGGGAAGAAGAACAAGTATTATTCTATTTTTTTTTTTTTTAGGCAATTGGGGTTAAGTGACTTGCCCAGGGTCACACAGGCAGTAAGTGACAAGTGTTTGGTCTGAGGCCAGATTTGAACTCAGGTCCTCCTGACTTCAAGGCCGGTGCTCTATTCACTGCCCACCTAGCTGCCCATGTATTATTCTATTTTCCAGGGTCTGAAAGAGAGGAAGCGTCTCGCTCAAGGTCCCGCAGCTAGTCAAGCGGCAGGGGGATTCCGAGTGACAGCAGCAGAGGCAGAGGTGATGCCCGGTCCCACCCTCTGCAACCCTGGGGCCCAACCAGGAAATAACCTCTCATAGAAGTCATCCCCAGCTGAGGCGCCACGCTGTAAGGGCTTGTCCCCTTACTGCCGGCTGTCCTTCTGTAAAAGGGTGGACTTCTCTTGGTAGGAGAAGGCTATTCCCAGTCTGGAATAAGAGGCAAAGAGGAGTGGAGCTGGGCGGAGGAGTGGGCAGCATAGAGAAACTGGGGAGCTTCCCAGACTCCTCTGAGTCAGGTCTTCCCCTTGTGGCTTCATTATTTCTCTTTTGGAGTGAATTCCCAGAATATTAAGTATTCCCATACTTAAAAGGTCAGTATGAAAACACATCCAAGAATTCAAATAGAAATGACTTTTGGGTGTTTGGACTATCTACCCTTACGGATTATCCATACTGTGGCCTGCCTTTATAGGTGCCCCTCACACGCAGAGTAGCCCCTTCCAGCTCTAAATTTCCTTCCTCTCCATTATCTCTTCTACAACCCCCTCAGCCAATCCACCAACCACATTGAAGACCATGGCCTAGAGGAACTTCCTTCCTATTTTTTTTTTTGCCTTTTTGGTGAGGCAATTGGGGTTAAGTGACTTGCCCAGGGTCACACAGCTAATAAGTATCATGTGTCTGAGGCAGGATTTGAACTCAGGTCCTCCTGACTCCAAAGCTAGAGTTTGTCCACTGTGCCACCCAGCTGCCCCAGGAGCTTCCATCCTGGAGATCCACTGTCCTGATCGGTGACTTCCTTTTCTTATCTGTTCCCTTCCCTGTCCTCCCCCCAGTTTTGGAACCAGAAGCCATGATCAAGTCAACTCTGCTTTTGTTCTCAGCATCCCTATAGCTTTAAGGAAAAACGTGCCCCTCCCTAGCTTCACTCTCATGAGATCACAAACAGCCAGACACGACTCAATAACAACAACATGTAGAAGATGCAGTTAATTTTTTTTTTTTGTGAAAGAACTAAAAACAACTAAAATCTAACTCTAGAAGTTAGAGGGAGTCAGAGATATACCAACTAGAATTGTCCCACAATGAAACTTAGGCCATTCTGTGAGGAGGTGAGCTCCCCGTCACAGTGGGTATCCATGCAGTCGCTGGATGATCACTTATTGGGGATTTTGCAGAAAGAATTCTCATTTCAGGAAGGGGTTGGGTAGATGGCCTCTAAGGTCCCTCCCACCTCTAACATTCTAAGATTGTAATCAGTGCATTAAAGTATCATATTTAATTCTGCCCTTTCAAAGCTGGGGGAGATGAAGTCTAGGAATGTTCAGTGGAACGTCAGGGTCAGAGATGAGTCAGCACTGGGTCTGTGCATCAGTCAGTTCTACTGCCTCAGATAAAATAGAAATGGAAACAATTGGCAAGTCCCTTTACCTCTTTGGGCCTCACTTCCCTCATCTGAAAAAGGAGGGGGATTAAGGTATATGCCTTCTGAGGGCCCTTCCGACTCTCCATCTGTCATCCTGTGATCCTAATTGATCTGTCAAACTCCCATTTTTCTTAGAGTCTGATAAGTCAAATACTAATGATTCACCTTGGTTGGAAACCCAAACCACAAATTCTCATCCCGAGAGGTTAGCAGCATCAAGTCTTACAGCTTGAAGGAATCTCAGAAGTCATAGGATTTATACCTCAGGTGACCTCACCAATCCCTTAGCCCAACTCCCTCATTTTACAGATAAAGAAACTGAGGCCCAGAGAGGCAAAGGGGACTTGCTCCAAGATACACAGTAAGTAATATAAATGGGACTAAAGTCAGATCGTCGGACCCCAGATCTACCACATTCTGTCTATTTCAAGTCATCTGGTCCAGTTGGTACCTGAACAAAAATTCCCCCTTCAACATCCTTGATAACTGGTTATTCAGCCTTCTCTTTCCAGACATCCAGGGATGAAGAAATCATAAGGTATTTGGAATCGGGATCTTAAATAAATTCAGCTAGTCTATATTTGGTTCAGACCCTTCCTCATCCCTTACCTGGCATGACAGAGGTCATTCTCCTCCTAAGTGATCTCTCTGCTTCTGGTCCCTCCCTTCTCACTCCATTCTTTCTTTAAACAGCTGTCAAAATGATCTTTTTAATACACAGGTCTGATCATCTCACCACCCCCTATCTTACTCAAAAACTTTCCGTGGCTCTCTTTGTCTCTAGATGAACTACAGATTACAAATCAGCCTGGCATTTAAGGTCCTCCACAATCTGGCTTGAGTTGAGTGAGTGGGTGAAGGAATACGTGAAAGAATGAATACTTATTCTATAGTAGAATGTGATTCGAGGCTAGTTTTGGTATCTTGTTTGATGCCCAACTGGAATTTTTAAAAATATGATGCCATATTCCCCTTAGATCCCACAGGGGGTCGGGGGCAGGGTCTTATGTTTCATTATAGAAAATTAACAGAGGCTGAGCCTCTAGGGCTGTGCCAGACCCCAAGCTCTTGTCCTGATGGTGACCTTGGAACAGAGTAAAGTCAGCAGGTAATGCCTCCTGTGCCATTTGCCCTTTTAAATGGCACCCCTAGCAATGGATCTCTCTGTGACTCACAGTGGAATAGAGCCTGAGAGACTAGTTGGCAAGACGTGCCCTCCCATTCTCATGTTCCTAATTGTCCCCTTGGTTGATCTCACAGCATCTTGGTGGGATGTGGTCCAGGTATGCACTTAGAAATCCTTTCACTTGAGACAAAAGGTTACTCAGGAAGGCACATTAGGCACAAGAGGCCCAGGAGATGTCTTGTCTAAATTCAACCGGATTTCGTTTGCT